CTTACCTTACTTTAAATATGTATAGCATTTAGGTCAATGGTATTGCTTTGCTCCTTAATTGAGCATTTAGCAGCATGTGAATTTTCTTGCTTAAGCCTTCTCTGTTTACTCCGTTTATGGAGTGCATCTTTGAAATTCTCCTTGTGCTCCTTTGCCTTTATCTTGCTGGATCAGTGGTGATCTATATTGATTTTGGATATTTGAATAGTCTGGGGTTCCTGTGGCTGCATTAATCAATCTGAGAGCACACACAAGTTGGCACTAGCCATCTTCTCAACACATACAACCCAACAGGTTGATTTTGGTGTTGAAAGATTTGAATCTTCACAGTGCAAATCTTGAGCTGTCTTCCCGTTTTTTGAAGCTTTATTGGCACTGGGTTGAATGATTGCTCTGACTGGCCTGTCTGACAAGTCCTCGGACCGGCCTGTCCGACAAGTCGTCTGACCGGCCTGTCTGACAAGTTCTCGGACCGGCCTGTGCAACGAGTTCTCAGACATGATTGTCCAACAAGACGTCGGACTTGCCTGTCCAAGAAGATGACTCTGCCTGGCAACTGCTTGGACAAGCCGGTTCAACAACTTGCCGGACTGCCATGCCCAAGAGCCGCTCGGACAAACCTGCCCAAGGACTCCTTGGACAGGCCAGTCCAACGGGTTAGTCTAGAAAGTGTGGCCAAGATTGTGTGTAACTTGTCAAGGAGGTTGTATTTTTAAAGCACATCATAAAATGGTTTGGCAAAAAGTTTTCCAGTATTCTTTCCTGAAAAAGCGAGTTGAACATTTAAGTATTTATGATGGAAGACCCCAAGAAAGAAAAATCAGAGTACCAACCTTGGACATTCAGGATTGCAAGGGTCACATCAATCACCTGAAATTTTTTATTGATAAAGTGAGCTGTTAGACCCATGAAAGCAGTCATATCTGGAGCCATCCAGTCATCCTGAGTGAAGCAGATCAAATCTTGTTTCTTAAGATATTGAATCTTGATCTTTCCTTGAGAATGGATATATACCCTCCCCAGGTGTTTCGTGATAGTCAGAAGACTTCCTGAAGATGAAATCCATGAAAGGCATCACTCCTTCATCCACAAGTTGGATCAAATTTTTGAATGAAGGCCTGTCAACAACTGAAAAATGGAAATTGGCTTCAACAATAAAATAAGTTCAAGTGGTCTTAAGGGATTTGTAGTTCAACTGAAACTGTAAATTTTCAAGGGTTGCACATTCAAGTGTGTTTAATCTTTAAAATAAATGAAATTGTGAGAAATTAATGATGAAAGAAAGACAAATTATAAATTTACCACAACAGTTATGAAACAAAGCCAGAGAACAACTGAGAACTTATTGGTAATTGAAGAAAGAACAGGAATGGATGAAAGAGAATGAGAGGGTCAGTATGAAACTGATGGTTGAAGATGTGTAGCCTTTTCTCACCAATTGGAATCACACTGTGTGATCCATTTTGACAAGGATTGTTGACAAGGTCAAAGGATTTGGTGATTGATTGTTTTGAGTGAGACCAAAGTCAATAAGTTGGGAGGAGTTAAGTGGTGAGGATGATGGATTGAAATCAAGTGGAGTGGGTAGTTTGATATTGAGTTGCTGGCAAGTTGGAGGATGAGGAGCCAGTTAGTCTATTGGAAGAAGTGCAAAGATGTTGTCCTTTCATACCTGATAGAGTAGAGAAAACAGTGAAACAATTCAATAAATTGCTATGTATTGGTATCACATTGTTTCACCAATGCACGTTAAATCAATACCGATGCATTGCATTGCATTGAAAAATCAATGCATTTGCATCACATTGCATCAAAAAGCAGTGCATTCCTTTCTTGATGGAATACACAATATTTATCACCCACCTTGGCCGCATTGCTTAAAATCTGCATTTTAAGTTTTATTACCCACATTGCCTGCATCATGTATATTTGAGAAAATGACAGCAGCTATTCCAATTCTGATTGAAGTTTTGAGGGACTGATGGTGCAGGTATTCAAAGAGAACATGAGATTTTTTGCTAAGACCCCTAAACCTCATGCCCTGGAATGAGCCCTTGTTCTTCAGGCCCCTCAGACCCTCTCAAAAAGTTAAGCTATTGCAATTGGATTTTTTGATGAATTGGGGTATAGAGACCGAAATGAGCATAACCCTTGGTGCATTTCTATACTTCAATGTACCATTGAGGGTTATGCTAATTTTAGTCTCTATAACCTAATTCATCAATCACTTGATGCAATGTGATACCAATGCATGCATCACATCTGTTACACTATTGGTAGAGATCTATTAGGCTCAGGCTTGTGGTTGACCTTTGATTAGGTTTAAGTTTGAGTTTTCTGCTGTGGTGGTCTTGACATTTCAGAATCAGAGTTGAGGTTTGCAGACAGATCACAGGAAGGAGTCCAGGATGAGCTTGACCACCTGCCCAAAGTCCTGGGCTCCAGCCTTATCCCATATTTTCTTGTTTATCCTTCAATATCCACAAGTTTTTTTATTTGACATCTGCAGCTCAAGGCCAGCTGAATTGGCCTTTCTATGCAATTCCCCCTTTCTTGGTTCCAGAGTGAGGGGAGGAGGAAAGAAACCTCATTTTTGGAACCAGAGACAAGAGTTTGCCCTGATCCGCCCCACACTGAGCCTCACTGAGGTCACCAGCCTCATCACCATTGCACCTGAGTCTTGAGAGAAGCAGTCGGTTGCAAGGCTTGAAGGCAGTGGGTGGAATGTTGATAATGACTATATGCTTATATCCACTACTGTATGCTTCTACTATAGTTATTCATTGTGCTTTGTATTTAGTCCATCTGATCTCCGATCCATGAGCTCTCTCCTCACTGAATACAAATCATATTGTTCTTGTCAGCTCCCAGTGTCACCAGACATCAGTCTGTGAACTTCAGTCCTTGCGACCCCTGTCCCCCGCAACATGGAAGGCTGTGGCCATGGAAAAGTGGAAATAAAAGGGTGGGATAGTAGGAGGAAGACCCAAGGAAAAGTAGAAAAAAAACACAGATCTGAGTATTTTCAAATGCATAATCAAAATCAGAAGAATCAGATTGGGTCCAACAAATATAGGAAACACAATCATTGTATTTATCATTCACGTTGTTCAGGTTGATAGTGTCATTTCCTTCTTACTTTTTTTTCTTCCATTTTCTACTGCTACTTTTATTATTATTTTACTGGCTGTTTCCCTTTCTCTCATGTTGTTCTACTTTGCTATTTCTCTCTTAGACTCTCTATTCCTCTTTTTTCTGCATAGGTTGACTACCCTCAATAAACTGAAGTTATGGTACTGCATGTTCCATGATCAGTACTCTAATAGCATGATAATGCTTCTTGTACCCTTTTCAGGAGTGCTAAGACAAATGGTTCCAGTTGCACATATACCTTTCATCACCTGTCTATGGGGGGCTTGCTGGGGACCGCGGTCCTGCACCCCCCCTGCTCCAGTGTAGCAAGTTGTATGTATGGTGGACGATGGCCGATGAGACATTTCCCGCGCAAGCTGGAGTGCACCTTGTACCGCATGTCGAGAGCTGTACATAAAGTAAGATAGTCAGAACGATCGCTCACCGTGTGACATGCGCACGTTTGCACCTGCGACTTTGGGTGGGGGACATTGCTGTCGGCGAATTTATGTACACTCCTCCGTCTCCGGCGTTTGAACACGAGTGTGAATTCATCTGCTGCGGACTCTTTTACGTAATGGAGAAACTCAGAAAGAGTTGAACTTGATTCGTGGGAGGCTAACATGACGTATGATTTTTATCCAGATTTCATTGAAGCTGCGTCTATGGATGGGGGCATTTCAAGTTTCGACTGACCCGTCCCGGCCGCCGTGACTCATGAGCTTTCTTGCTCTTTACCGTCGTTTCGAATAGGGCAAACTCCATTTGGAGGTGTGAATGCGACTGCGAGATCATCACTTTTCAAGCTCTGTAAACATATCATGCAACCTTAAACACGTACATTCGATCTATACAAGAAATATTTGTTCATTTGGGAGGTGGAAACTTTACTACTGTGCTTCACTGACTCCTGAAGCCGCGGAAATTTTTCGAAACAAAGCAAGGTTTCATTGTCGTTGAGCCTTTCAAGTGCGACTCAGACTACGCAGGGCAAGTCATCATGAGGCTCCATCCCGAGTTGCCTTATTGTCATCGCGCACTGGGCCAGAAAGGACCGGTCCCAGAAAGCATTGAGACCACGATTCAAATCTTACTTCGAGTGATGGATTCATCGCCTTTGATCCTACTGTGCATTGGATTGCTGTCGGGCTCGACTATGATGATGTGGGTTGTGCATTACAAGTTCGGTAGATGGTTCATATGGGTTTAACCTGTTCACGGCTGGAAAAGAATTCAGTTTCATTCATAAATAGTAAGAGCAGACGGTACATAAATGTACAATTAATGTGCTCAGGCTCAAATTGTAAGGCTCGGGCTAGAATCTAGATCACTTTCCCGCCTGCCATTCTTCAGCTTCTCGCTGCTCTCGGTGCTAACCTGTGCTAACCGAGTCCGACTGATCAATTTGCAATACATCACATATTCCAAACCTTCAGTCTCCAGTGCCATCCTGAGAGTTCACCATTTCTACAGGCGGCAATTTGACCCCATGATCGCCACTCGTGAGAGACTGGCCTGTCTAGCTTCAAAGCCATTAGTCTGTTTCCAACGAGTGTCCCAGGATGCACGCAGTCTAGCAAAAAAGTCCTGGAAGCGGCGTGTCAAATAAATATATTCCTGTCTTCGTTTCGGAGACCCTTTCATCATTCGTGTATTATAAGCCGTCAATCCACAAGGGCATGTCTACTCCGGTCATTTAATCCCCCCAGCGTCGAGTGGTTCAAGTTCCTTCAACAATCAAACTTGATTTGAGCGCTTGTCACCATTCCTTCAAGTTCCGCATATTCGATTGGTCGACAACATAATACTCACGTCTGGTAAGTCACTATCTTTCATCAAGCTTCTGCCCTCCCCCCTTCCCCGAGTCCCCCTCCGAAAAGAGACGAGCAATCTATTGCACGAGACAATGTTGGATGGCGGGACCTGGCAACTACATCCCGTATATCTTGAAAAATCACCAATCTTCTTCAATCATGAATCTGGGTTGGTGGGTAAATCTACACACCAGCCATTAGATTAGATTTCTCCATCTAACACGGGCCACATGTGCTGGATATTATAACAGCTATGATCGTCTGGCTCGTGTGTTCCTCTGGTGGGTACCTCTCAACCATCCCTGCGCTGTGGTTATTTGATGGCTCTGGAATAAATGCCCCACCACCACTGCCCACACCCATCTCAGCCTGGGTTTATGGTCCGCCTTTGTTGTCAGCTGTCCAGCAATAACCTACTATAACCTATGAATCATATTTTTCCCTCCGTCTACACATCTCCCCTTCCTCTGACGCTTCCCTTCCTGCTCTGGACCAAAATTCATGTCATCAATCCAACACGCTTCCTTAAGGTTACCTACGCGTCTGCCGAATCTTATTAATATGCACTGTAGTACGTCAATGAAGTATCAGATGATTACAGATTTGCTCCTCCGCTACTTGGCTTCCACTCTCTATTTAGCATCCACGCACGCCGATAGAGGCGAAAAGATTCTTCACGTCAGTCGATCCATCCGAGGCTTGCCAGGGCTTGCCTTAGCTATGCTGCATTTCTTTGACGATTACCTTTCGCGATACTTCCGGCGACTATCTTGTGTCAAATTCCAGGGCCATTTCCATCCCGAGATCTGACTTCTGCGAATCTGCAGTCGTTGTCCGATTTCTATCAGAGCTCATCAATTCAGCCGTCTTCTATCCTCTTCCTCACTCGTCATCGGAATGCTTTTTATGCTGCCTGTAAACCAGCTATTGCCTTGGTCTCTTGCGCCACCTTCTGCTGCTGGGCCTTCATCTGGCATGTTAATCAAGTCGTGACCCCACACCGACGTGTATTTCTATGTGCACTATGCACCACATCCCTCTCGATTTTGATCGAAGCTTTCTCCCCAACATTTTTACTTGCCAATGATGAACCCGAATAGTAAAGCTGTATATCTTGTCCGTGGAGATCCTGATCGTCTTGCTTCTTCTCCGCCGCTTTGCTTGCGCAGGTATTTGTCCTGTACTAAATTCAGTATATCGTCCTTCTTTCAACGTCAACAATTTAAACTGCTAGAGACACATCGACAGCAGTCAAATCCATCACCCATCAATACAAAGCTTACAGCCAATTATCGTCCGCTGTCTCCTGATTTATCTAATTATTTTTTTTCGTTGCTTCTGTTCCTTAGTTACAATTAAGTCCACGTACGCGCCCCCTCATCATTTCTATCAACAGAAAGTAGGTTCCAAAGACAGTTCAAGTGGTTTCAATATTCTTTGACGTCCCAACAATCATGTTAGCCTCTCCACTCCCGTCAACAGACGTCACATCGGATCAAAGCTTCTCAGAGGTGGCACTGATTGAACAACAGCACCTCACCACTGCGGCCCCTCGCCGGACGTCATACAGTTTATATTACCACAACAACAACGAGCCCGAGGTTTACCCCGAATTCAACTGGGAGAACCATTCAAGCATTCAACTGCCGAACATGGGCGATCCATCCCGTTCTGAGAGTAATGCTGCGGAAGGCAAGCTGCATAACAGCCCACTGGCATCAGCGTTGGAGCCTTACCAAGGGGCTGCTCCAGCTTCCCCTCCATCATCGTCAGTTGGCCTCAATCACGCTTCCTTTCACACAAATGGAATAATCAATGCTGATACTGAAGTGTTATCATGATCCACACACTTCCAGGAGGAGTGAAACCTTTAATTCAGATGGTGGGAATGTCAATCTCGAGATATGCGCCGCGCCCCAGGTTCCGCAGGATGACAGTCAAGCGCAAGAGCCTTTACGGGTTTCTAACAAGCGACCTCGCCCCCCCTGCCTTTCACAGTTGGATAGTCGATGCTTCGAGAGGTATCCTCAACCACACTTAACCTCTGCCAACTCGTCACCACGCAGTGCTGCCGAGGCCTCACTCAAGAAAGAAAGTGAGGATCTGAGCAGCCTACCTCCTATTGTCACGCGAGAGGAGATAGAGAGGGGGGTTGTGAGCAATTCCAACAAATCAGTCCTGCATGTGCCCACTGCGCATCTGGAGCGTCACAAACACGATTTGGTCGCGATCGACGCGTTGGGAAATTCATCTGTACGGAGAACCCCCGAGGCCAACTCCAATCCACATCCTCAACAGCTTCAATTTTCCAGCCACTCCAATGGTTATCTTTCTGCACTGCCATCTCCGGTGCTGCCTTCTTGCAATGGCACAAACCCTGGCGACCGAGTCTCATATCCCGCTTCGCCTGTCGTCTCGCTGACCGCCCCCAATTCAGCGACATTTCCGCTCGAGTCAAATTCATCCTTCAGTCCTCTGACCACAGCAAGTCAAGCTAATCAAGTGGTTTCATCTCCATCGAACCATCATCACGTTTCCGACACGGCATTTTCGCAAACGGCCCTGCCTCGGTTAATCAGGCCTTCTTACGCCAGCAATGGGGGAACTCAAGTCGTTGATTCATCAGTTGCACCTACGACTGGCGCGCCCGCAACCCGCGTAACAGTTTCACCTGCTCCACAGCCGGCGCAAGCATCACCTTGGAGCTCGGTAGAAACCCAGGCCCCTCGTCGCAGAGGGAAATTGCCATCGGCTGGTAGGTTCTTTTGTTCACTTGCCCGAACCTCGCATTTATGTATTTCTAAGCGCATTCTCTCTTGATGCAGTGACGGCTATTCTCAAGGGATGGCTAATGGCTCACACCACTCACCCCTACCCAACGGAGGAAGAGAAAAAATCCTTATGTCAGGAGACCAACTTGACGATGAACCAAGGTGAGCTCGTCCTGCATCAAGGTTTCAAGGTTATGCTCACTTGCAACCAACCACCGATTGTCTTCCTCCGCACTTGAAGTAAGCAATTGGTTTATCAACGCACGCCGTAGGATTCTGGTCCCCCCTTCTGCCGGAAATTCTGTCCATGAGGTTAGGCAACCCGTCCGACGGCAAGCGCAGTCCCAGCTAGTGCGGGCCGCGGGCCATGCTGGAGCTGTCCCACCTTGCCTGACCATTCGTCACATCGGACCCCAATCAGTTCCAGCGAGCCCTTCGACTAGCATCTCGATGTTCTCACCTGTTTCCGCCACATCGCCCAACCTCTCGAATGGGGTGGGAAGCTTTGATTTCAGTTACCCGCTCGCACATCAATCTGGTCAAGAAAACCATTACCACGGCGAAGGGCTCTCTGCGTGTCGTCCGACCAACACCCTCAGTCCTTGCTCCAGCCAATGGCCCCACTCAACCCAGCTCATGAGACAATCCCCAAGCTCGCCGCTATATCCTCAGCCCCACGGCCCCACACCATACTATTCATCATCTCATTCTTTCCAGGGCTATCCTCCTAGCCACTCTTCCTCCTCCACACCGCTACCGTCGCCGCACTTCTCTGCATCCTTTCCGAGCGGCCCCACTCATTTTCCTAACACTCAAGCACGTCTTCATTCGCCGCGACCAAATCCAGACTCGCACCCTTCTACGCCAACTTTGTCTCACTCCAGCAACGAGCATCACTCTACCCCAGCTTATATGTCTCTAGCCCCTTGTCACCCGTCCATCAGCTATCCCACCAACCAAGATGGGGAGAAGTAAGTTCTCGTTGAGTTCAATCGCACGCCCGCGAGTCATCACCCTGGACGATTCCCAAATGATTTCCAACCCCGCTCAGCATGCGTCTTTCCTTTCCCAGATGTATTTCCAATCCATTATGTGTCCATTTTCTTGAGTATTTTATGCAGTTTCAATCATCTGAGTTGTTTTCTATACTAATCATCAGCATCGCAATCTTCCATGTGTATTTTGGTAGAAGAGCGAACATTACCGGCCCTTGCTTTTATGTTAACTATACTTGAATGCAGCATTTCCAAATTTCAAACAGAGTCGCTTGTCCGTAGACCCTCATTGAATAAGTTTCAACTGTGTTGTGCACCTGTCGGATCATAGTCCGGACCGCCATGTCCAACCAGGTGTTGGTAGTAGTGCTAGTGTCGCTTTGCTGTTGAATTTCATGTGTAAGCTTACTGCCTGGTAACCTTCACTTCGCAAGGTCCTGACACCACAAATTGAGGGGCTTGTGTTAAGCTGGCTATCAGGTAGCCTGAGACTGCCTTTGAGTGCGGGTCTACAGAGATGGTCGGAAAGCAGGCAGTGCAAATCCAGAGATGGATTTGCCAAACTCAACAGATACTAGTTTGATAGACTCGATCAGCAAGTTTGAACACATTTTTATTAGTTGGGATGAACCTAGGCAAATTTTGGGTGCTTTTTGCCTTGGGTGCTGAAGCTCTCCCGTCAGGATTCTTTCTCTGGTTTCAAAATAAGTAGGTGTCATCTACTGTGTGTTTGATTGACCAGAAACATTGGTTCTGGTGATTCAATTAACAGCTAGTATCCACGGGCACCCGTGTCAATCCCATGTCCAACCTCAGAATGGCCTCCGTCCCCGCGTTTTTTTTTTTTTGAAACAGGCTCGACCTACGTCCCCTCTAGGGCCGATATCGGGCATACACGACACCCGCGCAGCGATCGGGTATCAGCCCTAAAGAAAATAGAACAAGACATCACCAAGTAAGATTCACAAGATGATGAGAGCATAATGAAGATATCTAAAAAAACATTTGCAACCTAGTAAAGATCAAACCTATCAAGAAGTACTTGACAGATCGCTTCAAAATGGCACGCTCTTCATGCTCTACAGATCAATCACGCTTGATACCAGGTTACACACATCATGCAACGCCCCAAAATGCAGGGGTTACGTGAAAGCGGATGATTGACTCATTTCCTCTCCGTCACAATAAAAGTTTTCCATGCGATTCAAATTCTTTCCTTTTCTTTCTATCTTCAAACAGAGAAGTCACACAAAAATACTACGGAAAAATCGTAAGAATATTCTACAAGTAAATCATTCACAGCCTCTTTAAGCGAGCCCCGATTGTTTCATTGCCTGTGTGGTCAAATCGATCAGATCAGTAGGAGTAAGAGAAGTAAACTATAAATCACTAATCTGTAGAATTGACGTACTTTTAGCATAAGATCACCTAATTTGGCGGGGGAATCACTGACGACGGCCCCAGCTTCTTCTAGGGCTTTAACTTTGTCTTCAGCTTTTCCCTTTCCGCCACTGATAATTGCGCCGGCATGGCCCATTCGGCGGCCTGGGGGTGCGGTCCGGCCAGCGATGAAACTAACGACAGGTTTGGGGACGGAGCGGGACTTGTTGAACTGTTTCAAGTATTCTGCTGCTTCTTCTTCCATCGATCCCCCGATCTCTCCGATGAGTACGATCCCTACATCCAGGTGTAAGGAAACGTTGAGCCGGGATTAATTGGTCAAAAGACGATGTGGGGGGTCACCCTCACCTTTGGTTGCATCGTCTTCCATGAACGCCTTGAGAACATCAATGTGCTGAGTTCCAGGGAAAGGGTCACCACCAATGCCCACACATAGTGTTTGGCCTAGTCCGACTTTGGTTGTTTGGTCCACTGCTTCGTATGTCAGTGTTCCGGACCGAGATACAACACCTGCAAAGGAAAGATGGAGCAGGCGATGAGTGCAAAAAACCAATTAAGATAAAGCTCAACATTTTCCTTTCTTGGGGACACAAACCTATGCACCCAGGTGAGAAGATATTCGAAGGCATGATTCCGATCTTGCATCCACCGCCGACATCAGGAGACATGATTCCAGGACAGTTGGGACCGACCAAGCGTGATTTGCTTTGGCTCTTGAGCACTTGAGCAATCTGATTTCAAAAATTGCTTGGGCTCAGCGAAGCTAGATTTTTTTTATTGCTTATAAAGTGGGAGGAGGGGTGACTTACTCTGACTTCATCCTGTTGAGGGATTCCCTCGGTGATACAAACGATCAATCCGATCTCATTTTCTACAGCCTCGATCACAGCATCCGCTGCAAATGGTGGAGGGACGTAAATTACTGTAGCATCGGGTTTGGTTTCTTTTACGGCCTAGTTGCCAATCATCCAAGGCGACGGTTTGAAAAAAGAGGTTATCAGGCTCTGCAGCTTGGATTTGTGGAGAGCAATTGGAAATACAGCCTACTAACCTGCGTCACACTACCAAAAACAGGAAGCCCAAGGTGTTGTTGACCAGCCTTTTTGGGAGATACACCACCAACAAACTTGGTGCCGTAAGCTAGTCCTTCCTTACAATGGAACGTAGCCTGAAAATACGATCATGACCACAAGTTTGTTAATTAGTCATCCTCGTTCTTATCTACCGGATCGGGGGAGATGGGCACCGGATTGAATCTCTGACAGTTTTTCCAGTAAACCCTTGACAGATAACCTAAATAATTCAACAAGCCATAGTAATTGAATGATTAAAACATGTTAATTGGAGGAAAGAACATAATTATGGAGAGTTGATCCAATGAGGCATTCTGTTGAAACTTAAAAGCGACGAACCTTGGTATCCTTATGAATTCTCAAGTTGGGGATTGATAAGTCATACGGGCTTTGCAACTGGGTGGATGTCAGAAATGTGCGTGATTGACCATAGTGAGTGAGCTTGATGGCTTGAGAAGAGAAAATGATTTATCAGATCAATTGACCAAGCAGAGTGTATTGCATTACCGCAGAGAAATACAAAACGTACCCTTGGATAGGACACGCGGATGACGGAGCATGGTTGATGGCAAGGAAGTGAAGCTCTTCGGATGGGCCTTATGGGTTTTGATGCAACGGCGGTTGTTGGTACCGAGATGTAAGCGAGTCGTGTGGCCGAGAAGGTGTAGTGTGATTTGGGTGGCTCGGAGTCGGAAGAATCAGGATCCGCGGATCGGACCCGAGTGTACATAGCAGAACCCTCTCGATCGGAGGGACCCGAACGGACCCCGCGTCCCGGAGGGACACTTCGAATACGCGACCTCCACAGAGCCTTCAAGTTTGGGATCCAACGTGAACCTTGGTCACACTCGCTGTGCACATCAAGATTTGCACATCAAGATTCTGTCATACATATTGTCTCTTCAGAGAAGCTTGGAGCTTCTCGAGTTTTTTTTATTTTTGTTATGCATTAAAAAGTCTGTTTTATCTTCTTTTTTTCACGGATTTCGTCATATGTATCCCACCTTTTGCTTCTCCCTCCCCGGCCCCCAGCGACCCGATGCCCGGCCATGAACTCCCCTCCCAGCCTGGTCAGATGTAGCAAGGGATGGTTGAGTAGTTTGCCAGAGCTCTTCTTAGAAAGAAACTAAGGCTGGATTGCAGTGTCAGGTCTTGGGTCCGATCACATACCTGTCCAAACCCAAACCTGTAAAATGAAAGTTTTATATCCAAGGCATGGGATCTGCCTGGATCTGCCTGGATCTGCCAAAACAATTTTTTTGCAAATGGTTCCAAGCTTCTCTGAAAAGACAAAAGATTCATCAACTTTGAAATCAGATAGGGGACATGTCCTGAGCCCAATGCAGTCACAGGGAGTAACCATGGATATTCAACAAGGGCTTCATAGCCAGCTCATGTAGACTGGAGGATTTCCCACCAAGGATCTTCAGGCCCCAGAATTGAATAGTAGATCCTTGGAAGCTAGATATATTTCTAGAAGATGCAGACTTTTTTGGATCTAACTTGACATCTGAAAGGAATCAAGATCTGACAGGAAGTCCAACACCCTGACACATGATGAAGGACCAGTTGTTTTTGACCAATCCAAACCATCTGAAAATTTCATAAACTCTTTGGCTATAAACACCCTAAGAATGGCCATGAAGATCAAAATTAACCAAATGCCCCAACCCCAAAGTCATGGCTCTGATCCTTGTGCTTTTTCCTCCCTGAGGCTGAATACAAAACACATTATATTTAGTGTCAGCTCCACATGTCTTGTCTGAATGCTCAAGGTGTCAGTGCTGGTCTCTAAAGTGACCTGGTGCTGATGGGTTTTCAAGTGTCACACTATAGCTGCTAATGCAGACAATGGAAAAGAACCTTGCCTCAATACTAGAAAGCGGAGGGGTTAGCTCCCTGGGTTAGAGGGGATGCACACACAATGTGTGTTGTGGTGCCAAGCTTATAGTATATTAAGATGATCTCTTCTAGGCTAAAGTAGTGACTTGACTGTAGTCTAGGCTGAAGATAAGGATGTAAGAAGATTAGAGATGTTGCTCGATACCCGGGTACCTGTAGCGGGTGCGGGTACCTGCCTCAAAAATCCAATATTTTTGACACCCGCACCTGCTAGGGCCGCCAGGGCGGGTACCCGGGTACCTGCACCAGGTACCTGTGGGTACCTGGCACATTTTTGCAGGCAAATATACCCAGAAATCTCACCCTCAAATTTCTGCATGACTTGGTAAATATAAGATTGATATTCACTAGATATATGAGTAAGAATAAAATAAAAATAAAGAAATAAAGAAAAACAAATTATTCTATCACCAATTTGAATTTTATCTTCTCTCTGATCTATCTTTAGCTTTACCCTTTTGCTTGGCCTCATTTGCCTTATTCAATTTCCATTGATGAAGACTGTACACTGTCTTTATGACTGGAGGAATTACTCCAGTCATCAAGACTTTACACCATCTCAAAGGCCGGAGGGAACCCTCCAGCCTCAACAAGCAACCAGATTAGTTCAGCAACACATGTAAGACACCAGCTGGTGTCCTACATGGGTTGCTGACACCTTTGTGCAGCCCAACACACCCCAAAAAGGGAGTGTTGGACCACCAATGATAAATTAAATTCTTCAGGGGAAGCATTCCCAGGGCGGGTGTAAGGTGGGTACCCGGGTACCTGCCTTTTTTTACCGCAAATGTTGACACCCGCACCCGCACCCGCACCTGTTTTTACCGCAAATTTTGACACCCGCACCCGCACCAAACTTATCAAAGTCCCTTGCTTCGGAGGGCCTGGTGGCCTTGGCTGGCGTGGAACGCCACTCGCGCGAAGCGCGAGCCTCCAAAGGAGGGACTTAAGACAAACACAAACAGGCCCGCGTGTCACGGTTGGGCACTTTTGGTGTAACGCACATTGAGCTGGATGTACAGCATTTACATCACCAGCTATTGGCGATTTGAGTAGACAAGCTTTTGGTGCTTGGTGATGCCTCTCACCTCATCCAATTTTACAGAACTTCATCTTGAAAATTGGATGAGGTGGATCTTTTTTAAGTTGGTCAAATTGAGAAAATGTTCTCACATGGTAGGCAGTGAGATTGAATTTGGCTTATGTAAGCTCAGCCAATTTGCCATTGGGCAAATTTTCCTTTAAAATTTTTCAACTGTGTAGTTTTCATTTTTTCCCAAAAGTTTCTTGATAGAAGTCAAGACCTCCATGTTGGGCATCTTCACTCCATCTCAGCTTTCAAGAAATCCAAAAGCTGGATTTTCTATGATTTTTGGCGCAAAAAAACAGCCAAAAAACTCAACTGTGACACCCAGTCGTGTTCGTTTTGGGCTCAAGCCTCTCCCGCACTTCGTGCGTTCGACGGAGAGGCTGTACAAGCTCGCACCCGCACCTGGTACCTGCTTTGGAAAACAGGTACCCGCAAACGGGTACCGGGTACCTGCAAACGGGTACCTGCTGACATCTCTAAAGAAGATAAGGGGGAAGGTTTTGGAATTTCAGTTTCTTACTCATGCCTCACTTCCTGCCTTCTTGATTTCTCCATCCCATTTCATGACATGTTTCCCTTATATTCAAATCTTGTTGGATCTGCTCACTAGTCACTAGAAGTCTTCTCCTACATAATCTAACATTATCTCCTGTTATGAAGGTTATCCCCCAGCTTGTAGTCAATGAACCCTGTCTGAGGAGGGTATTTCTTCTCTCATGTAGTCTTGCTTATCTTTTGGGTTATATTCTGTCAGCCTGGGTGATGCCAAGAGCTGGTCTCTTCTAGCTACACCAGGTGCAAACTAAGAAAATGGTATGTACAAGTGTGGGTAACACTTGGAAAGGGGAGTTTTTTGATATTAAGAAAAGAAGAAATAAAAACTATTAAGTTTTTATAAAGGGAGGGGCCTGAGTTACAGGGGTTTTTATGGTGCCCTCCAATGAATCAGGACCTGTTAAACAGGGGTATTTTTGATGTACCTGATGATCTGGTCCTTTGTGTAAAGGAGTATGCCCAGACAAAATGCCTACAACTGAAGTATCAAGGAAATATTACCTACTTAGTACTATTTCCAAGCCAAGGGGACTTCAGGTGGGTGAAAACTGATCTGGGAGCGCTCAGAAAACTGGGTAACAGGTGTTGGAAGAGTGCTGGGGAACAGTTGATGGTTGGGTTGGTGATATCCAAGACAGAAACAGCAGGAACTGGGCCAAAAACAGGTGAAAAACTGGTTGTTGGAGGTGGTTATTGCTGGTAAATGGTGATGAAGATGGGGAATTTGAGTTTGTGGTTAAGAAGGGCTCCTTATATACACCACAGATGGCGGAGCGCATCGGCTCGTCGTCGAATTTTTGGTTGAGCCGACCTGCCCGACCCCCGCCAGAAAAATGGCGTGCCTTATTGCGGGAGGGGTCGGATGCCGCGGTTGGCTTGACCTGCGATGCGGGCCCGGCGTGGCGGTTCCTGGTTGGCTTGACCTCCAACGCTGGCTCGATGGCGGTGTTGCTCATAGTCCAACCTGCACGTCGGCGGCAAGACATGCACGTCAGACAAAAACACAGGCAAGGCTAGCTTGCCCAAAAGTTCGTCCCCCATGTGAGCGACTCGAACTCACATGGATTTCGAGCCAGACTTGCCTGAAGAGGCAGGCACGGTGCCCAGCAAACGCAATCCTTGGCAGTTACACCATTCACAAAGGCTATTGGTGTAAGTCGTATCTCATCGTCAAAGATGCCAATTTCTCCTTTTTTATGTAGGATTCTTCCGTTTTTTTTGCGAAGACCTTCATTTTTTTTCACATTTGTACATATGTGTATATCTTTTTCTAGCCAGCGAAAAAGGCTCACTTGACAAAATCACAAAAAAAAAAATTCTTGATTCATTTTCATCACTAGTAATCAAAGCGACCTGTTGTTGAGCCAACCCCATTGACGGATGGGGTGATGCGACTCGCGTGGACGAGGTTGGTCATCCCAACCTCAGCTCACCGAGGGCTCGACCTCAGCTCAACGAGGGTTCAACCAGCAGCCATCGTTGGCTTACTGGTGGGGGCAACAGCCTGTCGGCTGGAAGTGAGCTGCCCGCCCTGTATGACTCAGTGGTCATAAGACTGTCAACACCAGGATTATTGGCAGAGTCGGCTTGACCTTCGAGTCAATCAAGGCAAGATGTGGTCGGCTCAACCAGGGTTCACCCTCAGCTTGACCCTCCCTTCAATTCCAGGTCAAGCAGGTCATGCCCCACCTGGCCGACTCGATTTTGACCCCGCTGCGGGTTTGACGCTCGGGAACAAAAAATATCGAGCTGTGGTGTACTCATTCTGGGCCTTTGGAGGCGAACTCAGAACTCTGTTTGGCTGGTGCAAGCCTCCTACTAGGCATTGGTGACCTGTAGCACTGCCTAGACACCTGTAGTCCTTGGTTACAGGTGGCAGAGGGCTGAAGTGAGGCTTGTAACACTCACTAAGGGGTGCTGTGACGAGCCTGCAGCCATGGTTTGGTCAATGGGACCCTTTAATGACCAGTGGGCTGGTCTTAACCAGGCGTAGTTAGCCAAATTGGGCCAAAAAGGGCCACAAATGGCTTTTGACCAGCCAGTTACAGTTGTTGTGACAATGTAGTTAAGGTTTCAATGATGTCAATCTTATTTTTAGATTTTTCCCGAACTGCATGAACCTTAATTACATATGTAGACCTGTC